ATATTTTAGTCCTAAAATTTTAGGAAATAGAGTAGCCTAAAAAACTGAAGAAGATAGAAAGTTGGTGTATAACTATTTTTCAGCAACGAAACTCATCAATTTTGATATCAACATGTTTTATTGAACAAAAAGAATTTAAAATTGGTGCTTTTTTTCTTATAAGTATGCCTAAAAAAAAAGAGATTCCTTTTTTTTTGTAATTTTAATTTTAATTTAAAAGTTTATTTATTAATATTTTAGTCCTAAAATTTTAGGAAATAGAGTAGCCTAAAAAACTGAAGAAGATAGAAAGTTGGTGTATAACTATTTTTCAGCAACGAAACTCATCAATTTTGATATCAACATGTTTTATTGAACAAAAAGAATTTAAAGTTGGTGCTTTTTTTCTTATAAGTATGCCTAAAAAATAAATTGGTTTCATTTAGAGTTTTTTAATTAGTTAGGTTATTTTTAGTAATTTTGGAGTGTGTTAGGGGTGCTAAGTGGTTTATATATGTTTTTATGGTATTTATTAGATATTTTTAAATAAAAATGAAATTGATATTATAACCAAAAAAACTCATTTTCTAATTTTTTAGCCCAATTAGCTAGCAGTCACATGTTATAATAGGTTACATGTTATAAACTTAATAATAATAATAAAAAAGAGTGGTCAACACATTCACTCATGAGGCAAAAAAATAAAAAGTTTTCTTTAATTTTTTTTTTATTGAATTAGTTTTGTTTTCTAAACAATGTTTGATTTGTTTCAGTTCCATGATACTTTGTAGAGATTTGTTTAATTTTTCTTGAATTGTTTTTCCTTATTATATTTTATACGACATAGTTGTATTTGTATAAATTCTTTATAAAAATAAAAAAATATTGTTATTATCAACAATAATGAGCTGGTAAGATAAAATGAGTTGGTATTAACAACTCCTTTTGATTTATCGATTCATATATTTTTTAATTTATTTTATAAGAAATGAATGGCATTTTTTAATTTCTCAAATGAAAAAAATATTGTTAAGAATTAAATTTTATAATTTATTTTAGTATTTTTTTATAAAATCATCACAATTTCAAATAAACATTCCGATATTAGGTCAGTGTTTAATTTCTTAAACATACATTTTTTATTATATAATTAAATAAAAATTAGTTATATAAAAAACAAAGTTATTATACCTAATAAAACTATGACTAGGGTTATGAGTTTAATCGGTTAATTGAAATTAATCTTATATATCATTGTCTCAATATTTTTTTATAAAATATTATATTGATTTTTTTAACCAACTTATGTTTTTATCAATTATTTTAGTTGTTTTTTGTTTGTCAAGTTGAATAGATAACTTCATAACAAGTCTAAAATGGTTTAATTTAAAGTTTGGAGTAGACAAGAAATTGGACAAGGACGTTTGAAAAAAAAAGATTCATAAAAAAGAAAAAAAGTAATAGAAAGTGAAATGGTATGGTGTGATCTGGGGGGTTTTGCAAAAATAAAAAATAAAAACATGTATGACGATGTATCAAAACTTGTAAGTTTGAAATGAGTTTGATAGCAAACTTTGAATCTAAACCTGTTTCCTTTGGTGGCAGTGACAATAACAGGCATTGCTGCTTTCTTTTTACTACTTTTCACTTGGTGGGGAGGAGACTATTTGTGGTCTTCTAAGTACATTGAATTCGGATTTCATTTTTGTTTCCACAATGAGCATAGATATTTTACAGTTAATTAAATTACCAAATGTAAATTGTAATGTTTTCAAAATAAAATAAAGTAAAAAAAAATAACTAAACTCTAAAACAGTTAGGGTAATTTTTCATTTAATAAATATCAACTATTTATTATTTATTATTTATAAAACCCATATTTTACTGCTAATTAATTGACATATCAATTTGTATAAAATACTAGTATGAAAAATATATTTATATATTATTTTCCTTATCAAAAATAGAAAAAAAATTGCACAATTCATTTACGTGTGAGAGGATGAATAATGCAATCTTTCACTTGAAAATATCCATCCCCTATAATTTTCTACTTAATTATATATTAAGTTGTGCTGGATTTCAATAAACAAATAGGAGGATAATTGACTTGGAGTAGCTTTGTCAAAAACACAGGTTGACTTGTGACTCATTCAGCTGGGGAAAAATTTAGTTAAAACAAATTATTTTTTTTATTTTTTAAAAATAATATTATTTTAATTTTTTTATAAAATAAAAAAAATTAGATTGATCGGAAATTACTCTAGTTAACCCATTTAACCTGAAACCTAAAAATTATCTCTAGTTGACTCTAAATTAAGTTTAAAAACTATAATTTTATATCTTGTAGGATGATGTTTTAAATTGTGAAATAAAATTTCATATTACAATATATTAGAAATTAATTAGCTAGTTTAGGCACATAAAGTCACTTGATAAGGTGGGAAGATCATAATAATAATAATGAGGAGGAGGAGGTAGTAAGAGCCTAGGGGGACTAGTCTAATTGATAAGCAAGTTTAGACTCCATCATTTCCAAATTGAAGAGGAGGCCGCAAGAAAACAAGTTATTGTAAATGCAGTGGTTCATGTATTGATGCCCTGCTTAGAATTTAGATGGACACCAAATAATTTGACTACGTAAAAACAAGTATAAAGTCATCCTTAACATTAGGGGAATAAAAAAAAGGACATCATGTGAAAAAGTATAAATTCTAGAATTAATATAATTTTCTTAAAATAATGAATTGTTGTCGGGCATGCAGGAACATAAATACAAGGAGAAGAGTAATAAAAATCAACAGAATGCAAGTGGGGTGACAGAACATATAGATGTTTCTTGTTCAATGCATTGCTCCTGTAGTCTTGACTTCGGCTGGTAAACTCGGTCTCCTCTTTTATTCACAGAAGACTTTGAGATTCTCTCGAACAGAAATGGAAAATGATATGGTGGGGGCGTTGAACAAATTACTCCTCCTTTTTGTATTGATTGAGTTCGTCATTTTTATTTTTATTTTTATTTTTCCTGTTCCGTGAACATCTCTTCGTTGTGTGCAGGTGTACAAATCCTCAAGAAAATGGATTGAAAATCTGGGAATGGAGCAAAGTTATCTTCATTGTCTAGTCCTCTCATACTTTCTGAGCCTCTCATGAATCTCACACCCGAGAAAATGAGAAATCATGCTCTTTTAACCAAAGCCAAGTTTCAACAAAGCATGAAATCGAGCTTCGAAAGTTCAAGTACGTGGAAAGGCACGTACTTCTGCTAAATTACATGCCTCTCCCATTACGCGCTTGGTAGGCTAGCATCAATGCTCTATCTACATGCAGATTATCTAGCCATCTTCTTTCACTTCAAATTAATTAACAAGTTTGACAAATATAGCATGGATTCTCAAAATCAAAGATTTAGCGTGGGAAAAGAGAGAATGGAGTGACGGCTGATGAGAGGAAGGGTTTCGAGGACAATGAACCAGTCATTTTCCGATGACTTGAATTAGTTTTAGCCTTCAAGTATCTAGCAAGCAAGTTCAATGTACAAATGTTGCTTTCTATAGCTATTAAAATGAGTCACTTTGTCATCCCATCCGTCAACATTTTCCAGTTCATAGCCCTTCAACGCTAAGATCGTTCAAAGAATCCAAGGACAACACGCCAGATGCTAGCTAGGTCCAAGATAATTGGGCCATGCATCTGGACCAAAAAAAGAGCCCAAACATGCTTGGCCCATTTTTGAAAATATAGGTGAGCCCAATTTTTTAATTAATCGGACGACGCAGCGTCCTCCAAGTTCAAATTCCAGCCGGATATGGAGAAGAACATTACACTGTTCATCGATTGGTAGTCTTTCTTCTCCCACAATGGGCAGGAAAATGAAGCTTCGGCTTGTAAGTTTGATGCTGGGCGGGTTCGATGCACTTCACCGTCTCCTTTATGATAACAAAACGCGGGTGCCGAGACAGCATGCGGAGGCGCACCGGTTAGGGTTTTTCCCTACCTTCTTCTTCTTCTAACAAACCGTGCAAGTTATTAAAAAAAAAAAAAACAAGAAAGTTTATCTGTTTATTTGGTAAGTCAAATTAGGTTTTCTTGATTACAATGTATTTAACTTTAAATTACTTATTGAATTAATTTGTTTTTTTAAATTAATCCTTTTAAACTTAATTTTTATATTAGATTTGATACTTATTCTTTTAATTGTGATATATTTGATTTTGAATTCTTTATCTAATTAATTTGTCTTTGACTTTAATTTTTTGACACTTTATTTTTATATTAAATATGATTTTTATTGTTATTTGTAATTATTCTTACTTTTTTTATTGAAATTATTTTTCAATTTCATCTCTTATAATTTATTTTAACAAACTTCATTTAGTTTTTTTAAAGTGTTGTTTTCTAGTATTTTATTTATTTATTTATTTATTTTTAATTTTATTGTTTTTCATTTTGATTTATGAGAATTGACTCTTGTTATTTGTTTTATTTATTTTCTTTTTGTCTAGAAAGGATTGTTTCTTATGATTTCTAACTCTTAAAAGTGTTGTTATCATATATATATATATATATATCCATTACAAAAACATGTATTATTACTAATTTAATTGCTATGAATTCAAAACAATAACCACAACTAAAATCTGCAATATTTTTTTATAATACAATTTCCCACTATTTTTCAAATGAAGAACATGAGCAATACAATGAGATAAAAATAATACTCTATAATGAAACTATCACTTGCAAATTATTATTTTGATTTTTTATGAAAAATATTTGTTTTTTTAAGTGAAAAAAAAAACTTTAAAAAAAGAGCATGTTAAAAATTATTTTCTGTTACTTGACACAACTAATTCAGATTTAAAAATTGTTGAACTGAATTCAATAGTTAAAACATGTTTAATACGAGTATACCTGCGATGTCAATTGCTATAAATGGTGAAATGAAGGATTACAGAAAAGTCTCGCAGGTGCGTATGATAACTTGCATAACCACTATAGCTACATGGTTGAAACACAAATTGGGAGGCTGAATAAATATTTTCCTGTATTGAGAATCGTGAATTTACATACAACATCCTCGGAACACGTTAAGCTCCAGAACTTCGGGTTGAAAACTATTTCTTCGAGCTTTGCCAGGCTTATCTAGCAACTGCTGTGTTGATTCAGGCTACAAAAGATCCCATCCTACGTGAATATGAGAACTGGGATGGGACTAGCTTAGATGCTTCACCTGTCCCCTTCTAATCAATAAGATAGTTGTCACAAAATCGCCGTGTCAAAAAAAAATGTATTAGATCATAAAAAGTCTCTTATTGGTCTCTGCATTTGTCCATCTTTGTCTTAATTGGAGTGGCTGTGTCTAAATCTGTGCAGCAAGAAGTTCATTCCATGTGTCTGGAATGCCAGGCAAGCACCAATGCAAGCAATCATTTACGCCTGCTGTTGCCTTAACACTATACCTTGAGATGTGACCCTCATCTCTTAGATCAGAGAGAGCAGTGATATCCAGAAGAGTGATGTTTGTACCTTTAACAGCAGCCGCAATAACTGGATCACTTGATTCATCCTGTGACACTTCGCTCCCTCCGGTAAAGGGAGTGGTGTTGTCACAATTACCCCCGGTGTTCCAGTCTCCGTTGCGGAAATGCCTTGGTGAGATGGTCCTGAAGAATGCCCTAAGTCGGGGATGAGAAGGGAGTTGTGAATCAAGCCACCTGGCAACACTATGCACTGTAAGATTCTTGGCATTCCCAACTGCCATGAGTCGTCTATCTTTAAGGGGTTTCCCGTTTACATACATCACCCAATGGTTCGCTGTAATCTTCCCTCTGTTCCAATGATGTCCTGTATTAAGAACTAACACATCAAACTGATGGAGGAATTGCCTCATGAAGGCTGGCACACGATCCAAATGCATAGCAACATCTGTGGCTTTGTCAGTGATGTTCAAAGGTTCCAAGTCAGCAAGGGTTGATGACCAGTAATACAAAATGGTGGTATTGGTGTTTGAAAACCGATAAGCCCAGCCATTAGGACGAATGGCTCCACGAGGTTTAAAAAGACCATATTCTTTGCCCACATCTTCAACATCTGCCCTCCATTCTCCACCAGTGGCCATGCACATCAAAGATTGGAATTGCTGCCTGCCTAATGAATCTCCTATAAATGCAATTGTTTTGTCCTGCATCCTGGAATGCAATAATAATCAGGGAACTGAACAAAAGACGTCTTTGTTTGGTGGTTTGGAGAACAAGAGCATATGTTGTCCTTTCAGAATCAAAACAAGAGAAAATGAAACTGACCTTCTCAAGAAAGCAGATTTCTCAAACTCCAGCATGTTGCAGTTATCTGGCTGCCAACGATATCCTTCAAAGGAAAAATCTGTTCGCTGGGTTAGTCTACACGCCCACATTTCAGATAACCACTGCTTACATTCAAACCCAGAATACAAAGGCCGCCTGCTTTCTGCAACCCATCTACCCTTGGAATAATTGCAGCCTGCAAAGATGACAGCATCCTTAAAATTCAACCAGTCATAAGACCTTGGTGCATGCATAACTTGTAACTGGTGCACAAAGATTAGCAACAGATTTATAGTTTTCATAAACAAATAGGAGACTTGAAACTTCGTCTGAAGTTACCTAGTCAACAGGTGTTGTTTTAAGCTTTCAAATTTTTACTGCCATTGATTTTTCTATCATCTTTAGCAGGACAATGTAACTAAATAACGCAGGCCACACATTCAGACTCCTCAAGTAATTACCATTACCCCAACTGTAACGTTCTCAATTTTCAAGTTTACACTGCCCGGCAATGCTTTTGATTTCTATAATTATTGCTGTAATATAAGGATGTTCCTTGCACTTTAGCAGAACAAGGAAAAGTCTCCTAGTTTAACCCTCATACTAAATCACCCTACTTAGTTATGTGGTAAGCCATGGTGTCCATCATAGTACAAATCTATAACCCACTGGCAAAGAAGATAAGTGTAGTTGATCCATATTTTCATTCCTTCCTGTTTTTATTTCAATTTCCTGCCATCATATCTTGGCCTGGCACAATACTAAAGAGGAAAACATGTAATTGTCACTCTAACAACAACAAAAAGCAAAATGAGCGGCGTGAAAAGTAATAAACTCGGTGCTGCTTGGATCCCAGTGTCCTATCTTAAGCATACTGTGAAACCCAAGTTTGGCTTTGGCTAATTAATGATTATGGCAGCCAAACCCCGGATACATGTGTTTGTGACCCTATAGGTCACTCTGTCTTGGTATCCTCATTTGCTTCTTTGTAATGTAATATTCTTCTGTCATCAAAAAGAAAAGATTCCACTGTCACATATTATTGTTCCCATGTTGAATACAATTGTTGTCTGACGTTGATTATAGCTTATAACTTAACTAGAACCAACAAAGTACAAATGCAAACCATAGTTGTAGCTGGCAAGTGATCGTTACAAGAAACCGTGATAGCAAGGACATTGAGGACACAGTAAGTCATGCATTTTCATGTAATGTTCTAGGTCATGAAAACTGAACTAAATATTTGTTACATTGAACATGGAAAAAATGCCACAAGCAGTAGGCAAGTAGTGTTAATGAAAAGCAAGGTAGTTGAACCAATGAATTTAGACAAAAGGCATCTCTAATGTTCGTACAACAAAGTTCAGAGGAAAGTACAGCCAATAATATAATGAGTTAACTGTGGAACAAAAACAAAGAGCACCACCCTCGTACTATTTAAGAAAGCACCCAAAACGATAAGGAAATGGTCCCCAAAAAAGTTATGCATATTTCTCATTCTAACTGAGCCAAATCAACAAGTTGAACAAGCATTTCAATCATCTGTTTAAGTTCCAAAGAATACAAGTACACTCTGATTATAGAATGGAAAGCCCAGAGTTCCTAGATTTATTAAAATAATGTTCTATGGCTGTAAATGAAAAGGATTCTACCTTCTATCTTAGAAGACGGTGTCCTATCTGCATCCCTATCTTCCAATTGAGGAGCAAATGAGTTGGTAAAATTTGAGGCGTCAAATTCTTTTTCTGGTATTTGTGATTCTCCTGAGCTTGTAGAATCAGTATCTGTTTCCTCAACATGCTTGTTTGGGGTCAAAGAATCAGAAGAGGAGCCTTTGAGGGTATCAACAACAAACTCTGAGCCAAAACAAGAGAAAAGAGAGTAAGTCAGCTGATAACCGTGAAATAAAGTTAAGCGACATCATGATTTATTTGCTGTACACAAGAATTTGATGAACACTCATCACAGCAAAAATAAAAATTAACTCAACCAGCAAAATATATAATATAAATAAACTACACTTGGTTTAGAAGCCATTCTTCTTATGCCCCAAAACAAAGCTTATCATCTGATCACTTATCTATTCCAATCCCAGCGCCAAAGGCAAAAATATCAATAGAATAGGCCTTATACTATTCCAGTCACTTATTTATTCTACTTGGCACCATCCAGTCCAAGGATCTTAATTTTTTTGGAGAAAAAAAGATATATAAAGACAAAACAAATGGTTAAAAAGGAAGGCAATAAGGCATCCACCTAGACACAGCAAGAAAGAAAGAAAAATTAAGACAACAGATCTTCCAACCCACTGAATATTACCTAAGCAGACAATCCCTTTAAGCATTACCCATAAGAACTAGAAAAATGTTATCCCATAACAATTGCCTCAATAGAATGCCCTTCAAAAGATCTGGAGCTCTGTTCCATACAGCTGTAAACACAACACACCTCCACAAGGGCTTTCCATCCTTCCTTTCTGAAACAAGGATGATTCCAGCAAAAACATTGCACTCTGAATGCAATAAACATTCAGAGGCACTTCTCTGTTTCAGGAAGTTCTAGGGCAAACATCTTCCAGATTCCAAAAGGCATTGTAAGAGTTTGCCTGACATTAAAATTTTCCGTGGTTAAATTTCACCTCATTTAACTACCTACATCCTCATCCTACCACGAAAGTATATCTAGGCCAAAATCATCCTTGACGCCTCCTTATAAATAATCAAGAAAAGATACTGCAAAAGGGCACTTTCAGGAGTTTTATGGTAATGAACCTTATCCGTGCCACAGTTAACTTGAGTCATGTCCATATAAATGTAGATGAAATGCGATCTCTGTAAATTTAAATCATACAGAATGTAAGTGTTCTTACAAATTTGATTGAGGGTTTTGGCAATTTTCTAGCAAGTAAGAAAATGCAGAATGAACCTTGCAAGGTTGTTCAGAGAAGAACTTCTCTGGGATGTTAAAGCAAAAACTATCTATCAAAATCTTTACTCTGTTATATTCTGTTATGTGGTATTTTCAGTTATATAAGCACTTCAGAAAAATGAGAAATACTAGACAGGGACCAAACACAACTAGAGCAATAAGGTCAAAGTAAACATCCTAGCTACCAACCATGTACCCTTCAAGATTTTTAGCAGAAAGGAGAGACCAAGTCTACACCCATCTAGAAGTTCTCTGATACCTCATCTTCATTATAGAGTTCCTATCTTCAGAAAAATTCAAAAAATAAAGTAATCAAACAATTACGTTGCAAGGTCATACAATTAGGAATTTATGCTCTCTTTACACATCCTCGCCCACACCACACACACACACAAACAAGTACGTGTATATATCCATGTGAACAGTGAAATGGGAAGCGAACCTGAAGTATGAAAATTAAACTGCTCTTGCGCTGACCACAAAGTAGTAGCAAAAGGATTCTTTTCCCACGTCCAGAAAAAAAAGGTTGTAAAAGTAAGGAAGAGCAGAGTAGCAGAAAAGTGTCTTCCCCTCAATCTATAAAAATTTGCTCCTTTCATCTCTACTACACAACAAAGGGCAGGTTTCAATGCATTACAAGCATTCCATGTGGTAGGTTAAAAATCAGCAACCGCGAAGAAGTTCAGGAAAAATCCACCTTAGGATACCCTTACACAGTATATTCGACCTTCAAGAGGCTTCAGCTGCAAGGCAAGAAAAAATAAATAAATAAAGGATGGTTATGGTCATTCGTTCTCCTATGTTGTATGTTTTAGACAGGCCACCTTAAGAGCTATGCCATCGCACACAGTTTTTAGCTATATGACTTTCCACCCGGGTCTTATTAATCAAAAACAAGTTGAGCAAGTACATTTCATTATCTCTTTGCTAAATATCAATTACTTGCTCTAAGATTTGACTATAAATTTTCATAGATCGTCCACTCAAAGACTAAAAACAAGCTCATTTACTATCACCAGAAATTTTCAAACTAAAAAAAAACCATTTGAGTCCAAATAATTACACTTTGATTACCATGTTAATTCCCAGAAAAGAAGTCATGAATCAAGGTCCACAACTCCATCCAACAGGCATTATTAAAAAAACACAAACTGAAACTTTACGTGTCCATGTACTGAAAAACGAACGACCCAGAATTCTAATTGTCAAAACAAGAAAACCCAAGAACATTTGAAGGTAAGATTTGCATTACAGCAAGGAATTGAAGGACAGAAAGCAAATAAAAAAGAAAAAACAAGAACGAACCTGATGATATAATGACACGCGCAGAGAGAGTACAATATTAAAGCCTCCTTCTCCTCTCTTCACTTCTCGTCCTTTCTCTTCTGCAATTGTATTCCTTCTTCCTATAAAAATGGCAAAACTTTTGGCATTCACAGATCTGCCAAACTGAACTTCAAATGCAGAGGGAGAGAAGCCCCCAACCAGACGCAAAGAAGAGAGAGAGAGATTATGGTTTTGGCCTATTATGTTGCGTTAAAAAATTAGGGAGTGTTATGTCATTTTGTGAATCGCGGCGATCTCAGTGACTGTGTGCGCGTGAGTTTTTCTTTAATATAATAAATAATAGGAGGTGAGAGGGAGAGGAAAGGACATGAACGGATTAATAGAGAAAGGTCAGAGAAGACTCCGAGTTTTTTCCCACGTTAACAAAGTAATAAGAAAATATTTTTCAAACTAATATTGTTAAAAAACAATAATAATCTAGTATAACTAAAGAAGCCATGCATGGATTACAGGAGCATCAAATCAATCATGCACAACAACTTCACCGCATGTACTCTATGCACGACCAGCGTGATTATCTAATATATCTAGTTGTGGTAAACTATAGTTTTCATATGTATTTTATATGTAATTAAAAGTAAACATGTTATAAATATTACACTTTTAAAAAATGTGTTTTTTTCTTTATTACAAAACAGAGAAAGAGGGGGACAGAATTTATTTTTAACAATGAAAGAATAAAAAATAAATATAAGATTGTTCTAATTAATTAATTTAAAATTCAACTAATTTAGATTTTAAATTGACATGGATTAAATATAAGATAAAAAAAACTCTAACGAACCAAGTTAAAAACTCTATATTAAAAACTCGGGTTACTTAATCTATTTTATTTTATAAAATTATGAGTTAAGTTCAGATTAATTAGGTAATTAAATTTTAAATCGACCATTAAATCAATCAAGATTAAATTTTATCTATATTTTTTCTATAAAAAAAATATATTTTTCTAGAAGTGTAATATTTATCACATATTTTCTTTTAATAAAATACAAAATACATGTGAAAGCTATATTTTACAACCACTAAATACATTTGTCATTTTTATTGGTTGTAAATGCAAGACTGACTTGTAGTGTATGTCCTACGACTAACTTGTTGTGACTTAAACTTCTTTGGCTTTTCTAAATTAAAAATATTTTTTTCTCATTGATTTTCTTCATATATATCGTCTCAAATTGGATTGAATGGAGAGTATAGACTAACTAATTCCAACCAAAGAAACTAAACTAAATTAGTCCTTTTCATTAAGGCTGGCATTAAAAAAACCGAAACAATCACCACCCTATTTATTTAAGTGTTTTTTTGTTTTTGTATTTTAAAAAAATTATTTTAAATTAATATTTTTTAATATTTAATATATTAATATTAAAAATAAAATTAAAAAAATTATTTTAATATATTTTTAAACAAAATATATTTTAAAAAACAATCGTTATGATATCAGATGTAATCACCATCCCTAGCTGCAGCAATATTTTTTTAATTAATGATGTGAGATTTGGGCAAGTGATCCAACATAAGGTTTTCATTTAACAAGGTTTTGCATATAGTTTCCTTCCCTCGCCACTTAATTTGTTCAAGGGGTTAACTTACCATGCAAAAGGGGTTTTTTTTTCTTTTTTAATTTTTAGAGTTCAAATCTTAAAATTAACACCTTGAAATATGATTATTTTTTTGTAAATGCACCAAAATGATATGGGAATATTGTGTCTTTAAAATTATTATAAAAAGAAAGAAAGAATAGTCTCGCCCACGTTAATTCAAGAATATCCTTATTATATAAAAAATGTATTTGCAATCAGAAGATTCAGTCCATTCATTAGTCTATCACCAAGAAAACAACGTGAACTAGAAGGCCTAATTTTGAACCAGTGAATAACACTTGGCTCCTTGTTAGTGCAACAAGCTATTTTTCATCTCATATATTTATTTATTTCTAATTTGTTGGGAAAACTCGGAACAACCGGATACTAATTTATCCAGATTAATTCAGCGGAATATAATTACAATTCACAAGTCTCAATTCTTTCCCTCTTTGTGCAGTAAAACAGAATCAAACAATGATGAAAAATAATGCAAATAATCACAAAATCAACACCAAGATTTTTAACGTGGAAAACCCGATGTGAGAAAAACCACGGAACCGTAGTTCACCTAAAAACTTCCACTATCAACAAATAATGGGTTCACAATTATTATTCCTGAGATTCAACTAAGGGATACAACATATATATCATCAAGAACAACTTATTCTTGGATTACAACAAGATTAAAGGAGAATTATTTGAGAAAAACTCACAAAACTGACAGCCCCGTTTTCTGTCAAAACGGTCAGCTTCCACACCACCAATCTTCGATCCAACCGTTCAGAATGAAGATCAACATGCCTAGAAGTTTCTGTCAAAATCTCAGCCCGATCCAACGGTGAACGAGCTAGAAATCGAAGAAAGAGCACAGGTTGCTCTGCTGCCTCTTCTTCTCTTTTTCTCTCTTAATTTTCTTCTCCTCTCTTCTAATTTCAATCTCATAGCTATAGTACCCGCACCATATTCATATTAACACTAAGAGACAGCCATCACATGAAATTTAATGTGATGGTCCCACCATCACATGGTGTGGGACCATACACAACAAATCTCTCCCTCACACACCATGTAAGGAATTCGTCATACCGGCGATCAATATGTAAAATTTAATTTAGGAGGCTCTGACAAGCCTGCTTCCTTTTTGCAAAACTCAAACTTCTCTCTCGGTAGAGGTTTGGTCATCATGTCTGACACATTGTCATCAGTATGGATCTTCTCAACAATGAATGACTTCATCTCCGTAGCATCTCGAATCCATTGATATCTAACTTCAATGTGCTTTGATCGAGAGTGAAAAGTAGGATGCTTACTGAGATGGCTTGCACTTTGACTATCACAATGCAACACAAAGTTCTCTTGAACTAGGCCAAGTTCATGCAAGAACTTCTTCATCCATAACAACTCTTTGCCCCCTTCAGTAAGAGCAATATATTTGGCCTCTGTAGTGGATAATGCAACACATTTTTGCAACCTTGATTGCCATAAGACTGCTCCCCTTGCAAACTTCATCAAGTATCCTGATGTGGACTTTCTAGAATCAACATCACCAGCCATATCTGTATCTGTGTATCCATCCAACACAGGTTTATCATTACCAAAACATAAGCTGAAACTAGAAGTACCTCTAAGATACCTGAGTATCCATTTCACTGCTGACCAGTGTTCTTTACAAGGATTGGAGAGGAATCGACTAACCACACCAATTGCATGAGCTATATCCGGCCTTGTGCAAACCATGACATATATCAAGCTACCAACTGCGAATGTATAAGGAACCTTTTTCATCTCATCTTTTTCTTTATCACTTGAAGGACACTGCTTAGAACTTAGTTTAAAGTGGCTTGCAAGTGGAGAACAAACAGGTTTGGAGTTGCTCATGTTGAATCTCTCAAGTACCTTTTGAACATATCTCTCCTGAGATAGCCAAAGTTTTCCCTTCTTCCTGTCACGTGTGATCTTCATACCAAGAATCTATTTTGCTGGTCCCAAGTCTTTCATTGCAAAAGACTTGCTCAACTCTTCCTTCAACATCTGAATCTTCTTAGTATCATGGCCAACAATCAACATATCATCCACATACAACAAGATAATAATAAAGTTTCCATCTGGAAACCTTTTCATAAATACACAATGATCAGAAGTGGTCTTGTCATAACCATGATCCACCATAAAAGAATCAAACTTCTTATACCATTGTCTTGGAGCTTGCTTTAACCCATATAAGCTCCTTTTCAACTTACAAACTAGCTGCTCTTCACCTTTTGCTTCAAACCCTTCAGGCTGCTCCATGTAGATCTCCTCATCCAAATCACCATGGAGGAAAGCAGTTTTCACATCAAGTTGTTCTACTTCAAGATTCAAACTAGCAGCTAAGCCAAGCACAACTCGGATTGAAGATATCTTGACCACTGGTGAAAAGATTTCTTTAAAATCAATACCCTTCTTCTGACTGAAGCCTTTCACAACCAATCTTGCCTTGTACCTTGGCTGTGAGCAATGTTCATCAATTTTCAACCTGAACACCATTTGTTCTTGAGTGCTCTCTTACCTTTAGGAAGCTTCACTAACTCAAAGGTATGGTTTTCATGCAGGGATTTCATCTCTTCTTGCATTGCTTTCAACCACTCACTTTTCTTCTCATGTGACATAGCTTCATCAAAGCATTATGGCTCTCCTCCATCAGTGACCAATACATACTCATGAGGAGAATATCTGGTGGAAGGTTAGCGAGGTCTAGTTGACCTTCTCAATTGTGGCTCATCTGGAGCTTCCCGCATAACCTGTTCAGGAATAACATCAACATCATTATTAGCTGCTTCAGGATCACCAACTAATGGCTCAATAAGAGAACCACCATTATCATCATTTTGTAAGTCTCCCCCATGATTAGCAAGCATCAAAGGTAACTGTGGAGCAGGTCTTGGAGTTGAATTAGTTGGAATAAAAACAGTAGACTCTGTTTTCTCTTTCTATTCAAAGTCTTTAATGGTTTGATCTTCAAAGAAGATAACATCTCTGCTTCTCACAATTTTCTTCTCCTTTGGATCCCACAACCTATAGCCAAACTCATCATCTTCAGAGCCTAAGAAAATACATTGTTTTGTCTTGCTGTCAAGCTTAGACCTTTCATCTCTAGGAACATGTACAAATGCCCTGCATCCAAACACTCTTAAGTGTGCATAAGAAACATCTTTTCCTTTCTAAACTCTATCTGGAACATCAAATTCAAGAGGAACTGATGGAGAAAGGTTGATCATGGCAACTGCAGTCTTCATTTCCTCACCCTAAAAGGACTTGGACAGCTTTGCATGAGAGAGCATACATCTAATTCTTTCAACAATGGTTCTGTTTATTCTCTCAGCCACTCCATTCTGCTGTGGAGTCTTAGGAACTGTCTTCTCCAATTTGATACCATGTTCCCTGCAATACTTCTCAAAAGGACCCCTGTATTCACCACCATTGTCAGCTCGAACACATTTGAGCTTTCTACTAGTTTCTCTTTCAACTCTGGCACGGAAATCCTTAAAGACATCAAGCACCTGATCTTTGGATTTCAAACAAGTGGCCCAAATTTTCCTGGAGTGATCATCAATAACTAACAAAGTACAATGCACCTCCAAGAGACTTGTCAATCATAGAGCAAACATCAGTATGAACTAAATCAAGAACA